CTAAACCCTGAGCCCTGAACCCTCAATCCTAAACCCTAAACCCTAAACCCCATACCCTAAACCCTGAGCCCTGAACCCTCAATCGTAAACCCTAAACCCTGAACCCTTCGGGGTACCAACCACCCCGACCAGGTGACCCGCGCGTCTACGACCCGAAGCAGTGGCTGGGTCGGAACATCCTCGGCTTCGCACTGATGAAGGCCTCGTGGATTCTGTAGGAGCTTTTATAGGGCTTCGTTAGGGTTCTTAGGGTTTAGGGTCTAAGGGTTTAGGGTTTAAGGAATTAGCCGACTCGGCTTCGCACTGATGAAGGCCTCGTTAGGGTCTTAGGGTCTCAGGGTTTAGGGTCTAGGGTTTAAGGCCTCGTGGATTCTGTTGGGGGCTTTTCTAGGGTTTACGGAATGTTGCAGGGTTTAGAGCTTTGGAGTTTCGGTTTTGAAATGTTGGGGCTTCAGAGTTTAGAGCTTCGGGCTTTTTGATCTGAGGGTTTCGCATTTTGGGGCAGGCGAGTCCTTTCCAAGACTTGTTTTGATGCGCTCTTGCGCTGCTTGTCACTGCCTCCCCTTGAATACGGTATTCGTTCGTCCTTCGGTTCTGCAACCCTATACCAACCAACCAATCAACCAATCAACCAATAATTGAGTGACCACATAACAAAAGTAGCCACTTAGTTGCCAAATACATTAAATGGCGAAGTAGTCAGATACTGGTAGGTAATTGATTGACTGACTGACCAATTGTTTGATGATCCCGTTAGTTCACCAATTGTTTCATAGCTCGACCCAGTGTTAGTTCACTAAACGGTTCATTAAGCAATATAGAAAGCTAGATCTACTTTATCCCTTTTCTGAGCTTGTGTAGTGATTGTTACCAGTAAGACCTAAACCCTACACCCTATGCCTTAGCATTTACAGGGGTGCGCTAGTCTTCAGACATAGGTCGATTCCTGAAACAAGCAGTAGTTATTGCGCAGAACCCTAAAGTCTATAGCCCCCTCTCCCCCCCCCCCCCAGAGAGTCCTGATCGAAACCTTACATGAACCCTGTAGCACACTGACATGACCCAGCACTTAGGGCCATTGCACAGGAATAATGCGGGACCTGTCTGTGTGAAGCACAGGCGCGCGATGCACTGAAGTCGCCCGCGGTGCCAAAGGACGAAGCGAGCGAGGAAGCCCCGGCTGAAAGCAAGACGAGGAGGCAAAAAGAAGGGTTGACGGGTTTGGGGTAGTTCGATTTATGGTGTAGGGCTTGGGGTTGATAATTTTATGGTGGTTCGGTTTATGTTGTAGGGGTGAGATTTTAGAATGGCCTTGTTATAGGGGTTCTGTTTCACTGTAAGGGTCCTATATTATATGTCCTCTCAGGGTGGTCCGTTTTCTATTTTTTTAGTTGCTCTCTGAGGGTTCTGCGGGGGTAGAGAGTGTCGCCTAGATTCCCAATATAGGTCGTGACAGGTATAATTCCCTCGGCTTGTGAATGAAGGAGCCCGAGCAACAACAAAGTTGTATATGCTCTAGCGTTCTTGCCCAAGCTCCCCCGTATGAGCACTTCACATCTAGTGTCCATAGGGCTCGCCATAGCTTGGTTCGTGGAGAGGCACCGACCAGGACCACCAATTCTTGCCTTGGAGGAGATCCAATCTCTACGGGACGAAGTGGCAAGGACTCGCGAGGCGGTGCTGCAACTGGAAGAAGTATCTAGTTCTTGTAGCCTTCAGCTTTGGGTTCAGAGCTGGCTGCTTCGACTTAGTGGTCTAGCTGATCTACTTCTCGTGGGATTGTTGCTTTGGGTGTGGTTCTCTACCCGGACGAGGACAACTCCTGAAACTGAGCCTGTGGCCGCGGCTCTTTGCGACCAAAGTCCAGGGGTTGAAGATAGATTGGGTTCGGAGAGGCTTTCGGAGGCTTCACTGGGATCCGGTTCTTCTACTTCTCCTATCGCTCGCCCGACTTTGGCGCGACCTACCAGACCATCCGACCTTAAGAAATGGCAGACCTAACTTTGGATATCTCGGAAATCCAGATAGTGGTTCATTATCCTGGGGATCCTGGAGGGTTCGATTGGCATCACAGGGTTCTTCTTCATCGGATCGAAGGTGGGCGATGGATTACTCTCACACCCGATCTTGAGCTTCAGCGACATGATCTCTCCGTACAAAATCACAGAGTACTTGATCGCTCGGCGCCTTTCCCGGCCGACATAGCTGCCCTGATCTACGCCCACGACCCCATAGGCCGAGCTGCCCTATCCAACTTTAGGAGACAAGCCCAGATCCAGGCGGCCATCCTCGGGGAAGGAACCGTCATCGACTCTGAGGCCTACCAGTGGGTTGTGGCTGAGAGTGCACATTCGGATTTCGGACGAATGGTAGACGCTGCTCTGCTCGCGAACGAGGCTACTGGATTGGCCTTTACGATGAAGGGGGTCATAATTCTTGAAGGGGAGGAGGTTTTCGTAGAGCGGGTGATGATCAGTGAGATGGATGCTTGGAGAAGACGACGTGGCTTGGAGGCCGCCGATGTGCGGCTTTTAGGCGACCATCGTGACGCAAGCGGCAAGAAGGTTCTCGGTCTTCGTCAAGCCGTCCCTCTGATGAAAAGCCCGGTGGACCCCGAATTCCCGATTCAAGGAACCCGGGCCGCTAAGGAATTTCACGAAGCGGTGTCCTTGACGACAGAGAGCTTCCTCACCTATCACTCTGAATGGGTTCGTTTGTCAGGAGCGAACCGTAAGACCAGCTCGGTCCATATCCACCGGGCCGTATGTGAAGCACTGAGGCTTATGCATTCTTTTGATCAGCTGGATGCGAGCGCCCTCGCTGTGGGAGAGCATTTGACGAGGTGGGTGATTCAGACTGAGCTGGCGGTGGAGCGTAATCCTGCCGCTCCAGATTTCAGTGGACTTGACATCGTGAGCGGGACCGCGCAACTGCCCGACGGGAGGGCAGCAACCACCAAGTTCTCGGAGTGGGTCTCTGCGAGGCTCAAGGACAGGGCTTCTCTGTGGAAGCAAGAGAGGCTCTTCAACCAGGAACGTCGTCAGCTCCGAGGTCGCGGCTACCGGGGGGACGGTGACGATGAGAGCAGCTCCGATGACGGAGGCAAGGGCAATCCGCACAAGAAGAAGAAGAAAAAGAAGAAGGGAGGCAAAGGTGACAACGCGGCGACCGGAGCTGCTCTAGGCAGCTCCGGTGGGGCAAGGTAGATTCCTTCTTGGGCGGGGCCACGCCGAGGACGATGTCCGGTCCTGCCCTGGCTTCTTCGGCGGATGCATGGTTTGAATTTGGAGTTCGGGGTCTTTCTCCTCACCGTAAACATGGTGACCCTTTTCCGCTACCCCGACTTTCTTCGTTATCGAGTTCGTGCGGGACTCCCCCTTTTACACGATTGCACCGGCGAGTTGATGCGGCCCTCCGCTCTTTAAACAATCTCGCCGCGATCCCTTTTGTGCCAGTTTGCTCCGCCCCTCCCCCGCTCACCGCAGTTCAGGAGTGGATGATGGGAGACATTTGGCGGAGGGTTGCCATGTACGGGGAGTGCCCAGCCGACGTGACTGAGGCTTCATCCCTCGGTGACCTTTGCAGGCGTGCCAACCTGTACTCGCAGGAGGCCTGCCACCTTGTGGACACGGACCTCGGGAAGATCAAGATTTTGCGGAGGAGGCTCCAACCACAGGATGCTAGGGACCTGGCTCCCCCCGAGACCAAGTGCTACCTGGACAAGTTCAATGTGTTGGTTGAGAGGACTCCGGAGGAGCTTGAGGGGCTTCGCTGTACGGGGAGCCTAGTGGAACCTTACTGGGACCCCCATCTTCGGCGAGATCGGCTTCTTCGGCTCCAACTCTACCAGGCCCTCTTTGAAGCGAACCTCCTGACTTTCCGCCGTCGTCGCAAGGCACGTGTGGGGTTCTTTACCGTGCGTAAGAAGGACACAGACCAACAGCGGCTCATTATTGACGCGCGGCAAGCAAATGCTTGCCACAGGCCTCCACCGACGACCCGCCTTGCGACACCGGCGGGAATGACAAATCTTGATCTGTCACCCGGGTCCTTGGAATCTGATGGATTTGGCGGTTACCTCGGCGAAGCCTGTGTATCGGGCGAAGCCGGCGATGTGGGAGACTGCTTTTACAACTTCACTGTCCCTGCCTTGGCCGCTTGGTTCTGCACGGACGATGATTTCGACCAGGCCGAGCTCGCGACCTTGGGCATCCACGTGGACACCGTCTATGACGATGAGGCCGGCAAGGAGCTTCCTCTCCAGGCGGGGGAGCGCGTTTATGCGGCATTCAAAGGTGTCCCTATGGGTTGGAGTTGGGCGCTCTACATCGCGAATGAGGTGGTGAACCATCAGGTGAGTTTTACGAGCACCAGACCAGGCGAGGACGAAATTCGAGACCGAGCCCCTCCTCCATCGCTGCTCCCCGGCCGTCCTGTGGTCGGGACCTACGTGGACAATATCCATACATTTGGGGGCTACACGGGCGAGGCGGGCGAGCGCATGAAAGCCATTGCCGATCGCTTTGCCTTATTGGGTATCCCCTTCGAGGTCGATGATGTCGAGGGCCAGGGCTGGATGCACAGCCTCGGGTTGCGCTTCGACTTTGGTGACCGATGTACGGCCCGATCCAAAGCATCCCACGCGTGGTCCCTTTGGATGGCTACGCGGGGACTTCTCCGACGACGTCGGGTGAGTGGGCGCCTTCTTCGTGTTTGGTTAGGGCTGACCAACTTTCACTTTCAGTTGGCTCGGCCCGCGCTCAGTACGCTATCTGCCACCTACAAGTTTACAGCAGAGCACCTGGAACACAGGGCTCCGCTCTGGGCTTCGGTTCGTTCAGAACTTCGCGACGTTCTCGGCCTCATCTTCCTGGTCGAGGTCGACATGTCCGCCCCGCTGTGTACCGAGGTGCACGTGGGCGATTCTTCGGACCGTGGCTATGCGCTTATGAGCACCACTTCTAGCCACAAGGAGGTTAGGGAAGCCCTTCGTCATCACGAACGGTGGCGATTCAAACATAGCACAGAGCCTCTCCCTTCGCCTCTTTTCGATTGTGCAGAGACTGGCCCTTTGGGCTACATTGGTCAGTCCCCTTCGTCCGGCCTCGGAAAGACTACACAGTTCGGCAAGGAGCTGGCGGCTGCATTGGACTCTTCTCTCCGAGATCCTCTTTTCAAGCGGCGACGCATGAAGCTTTTGGGTCCCTCGACCGACCTCGAGAAGACCGTGATCGAGGGACCGGCGATCCCAACCTTAGCGGGATCTTGGGATGATCCTCACCGCTGGACCCTGGTGACAGCCAAGCCTTGGAAGGGCGTCAAAGAGCACATCAATCTTAAGGAGGCGAGGGTCTGTTTGATGAGTCTGAGGAGATTGTGCCGTACCACCCGTAATTTGGGAACCACGGCATTGACGATCACCGATAACTTAGTTTCGGCTCTTGCTTTTGAAAAGGGCCGCAGCGGTTCGCGGTCCCTCAACAATCTCTGCAGGCGAGCCGCCGCCTACCAGATGGCCGGCCGTATCCAATGGAGGCTTCGCCACATCGAGAGCAAGAGGAATGTGGCGGATGCACCGTCGCGCTGGTTTGGGCCTGATCTTCCTCGACCCGGTCGACAAGGTGAGGTACTAGAGACCAGCCCTCCACCCATACATCGGCTCCGCTACGGATCTGGTCTTCTACATGATCAGCATGGTCCCGGGGCTCATGGCACCCAGGGCTCGCATCGTCGAGTCGACTCTTTTGAGCTGGGCCGTGAGCTCCTACCACCTGTTGGTCCTGGTGAGGACGGGGTTCTGAGACCGCCGACTACACGACGGGACGAGGCTTCTCCTCGCTACTTCCTCGAGCTTTTCTCTGGCACCGGACGACTGACTTCCGCTGTACAGGAGGCGGGCCTTCGGGTGCTTCCCGACTTTGAGGTCGGCAAGGGGTCCTCTTTCGATCTGATGCGACCAGCAAACCAGGAGCTGATCTTCAGCATGATTAGGAACCGTGTGGTTTGGTACGTACATCTTGGGACCCCTTGCACTGTCTGGAGTAAGGCCAGACACAATATTCAGAATGCCAGGCGAGCACGCCAAAAGGAGGCATTAGGAGTGGCAGCAGCCCTGTTTTCGGCATGTGTGATTCAGGAATGTTTGGCAGCAGGTGTGCGATTCAGCCTAGAAAATCCTCAGACGAGCCGGCTGTGGGAGTTCGGTCCAATTCGGGACATCTTCCTTAACAAGCACGCCTGCTTCTTCACCTTCCACATGTGCGCCTGGGGCACCCCATACAAGAAACCGACGAGCATTCTCACGGACCTTCGTTCACTCAACAGTCTAGTCAAACGCTGCCCAGGAGATCATGTTCATCAGCGACTGCGGGGATCACTGATGTCGTTTGTAAACGGCAAACTTCATTCGTGCAACCGCACCGCTGCAGCCGGTGCTTATCCAGAGCTATTGTGCACAACTTGGGCTCAACTGCTTAAAGATTCCGCGCCACCAGAAGCTGTCGGGGCAACGACTCCGGGGGCAGTACTTAGTTTTCTTCATGGCGTCGAGGCGGCGACCCATCGAGCTCACCGACCACATGATGCAACTGCCGGCGGGGATCTTCGAGAACGTCACCAAGATCAGGGCAACTATAAGTTCCTCCGAGACGCCAAGCGGTATCTCCAAACGCATCCGGTCATCTTCGGACACTTCACTGCCGAGGACATCGCCCAACTCGCCGGCTACAGGAAGCTCGACGATTACCCCGAAAAGACGCGCGAAGCCCAGGACGACACCAGAGGGGACGGCCCTTTCTCCCCTCCTACGTCTCCGAGCTTTAAAGGTTACGCAGAAAACCCTAGACAGGTACCACAAGCACGTCCGCGAGTTCGAGGCATGGGCCCGTGCTCACAGACATCGAGTGACCAATAAAAATTTGGATCGGCTAGTGACCCTCTACCTGAACTTCTTGGAAGAGGATGAGGAGATCCAGCCCTCCAGCGGTGCCTACGTGATCTATGGCTTGCAGTTGCTACGCAATACGGGGCCCAAGCATGAGTTCCTCTCAAATGCCAAGGAGGCACTCAGTGGATGGAAGAAAATTCAGCCAGGAGGCATGCGCCTCCCTGTGCCGGAAGAGTTCATCTTTGACCTAGGCCTCTTGGCTCTGCACCAGCAGCGAGGCGACTTGGCATTTGCCCTCGCCCTTCAGTATGACACGTACCTGCGACCCTCGGAGCTGCTCAGCCTCACCTTGGACCATGTTGGTTACCCAGCAGGAGGCCGTTACAACAAATGGTCTCTAGTAATTGCACCGTCGGCCTTGGGAGAACGTACCAAGCAAGGCACCTCCGACGACTCAGTCATGATCGCCGATCGAGCTGACCGTCGTTGGCTCTCCGAGGCAATGGCTCTATATGTGGGTAAATGCAAGCACGAGCTCTTCCCACAGATCACACTGGCCTTCTACGAACGTTGGTGTGCGAAGAGTTGCGAACAACTTTCCTACCGCTCGGCTTGCATTATGCCGCATATTCTCAGACATTCTGGGGCATCCAACGACATGTTCCACAAGAGACGCTCATTGAATGAGATCCAGAAGCGTGGCCGTTGGCAGGCCCGCAAAAGTGTTGCTCGCTATGAAAAGCATGCATTGTTGCTCAAACGATGGGAGCAAGCTTCACCGAAACGAGTGGCCTCGATTCGGCGACAGTCTCAGAGCTTTGGCTCAGCCCTTCTGAGCTTCTTCAAGACCTCCAAGCGCTGAACCTCTCTGCGACTCCGGCCTCCGGCCGAGCTGATGTGAAAGGGAGTTCACTGGAATGGGTCCGAAGACTGGACTCAAGCCTTGAGCTGGAGCGTTACATGAAGCTGAGCCATCATCTGTAAAGCTTTTCACCTCGTTTCCATTTGTTCCGCAGGTCACAGGCATTATACAGCGAAGCCCGTGGCAAAAACTGGGCGACGTGCGAATGGTGAAGGCCGGGTCGGGAATTGTATAGGTCGTGACAGGTATAATTCCCTCGGCTTGTGAATGAAGGAGCCCGAGCAACAACAAAGTTGTATATGCTCTAGCGTTCTTGCCCCGTTGCCATCCAAGCCTCTGCGTTGGGTCCGAAGACTGGACTCAAGCCTTGAGCTGGAGCGTTACATGAGGCTGAGCCCTCATCTGTAAAGCTTTTCACCTCGTTTCCATTTGTTCCGCAGGTCACAGGCATTATACAGCGAAGCCCGTGGCAAAAACTGGGCGACGTGCGAATGGTGAAGGCCGGGTCGGGAATTGCATATGTAAATGTTCAAGGGTTTAGTATTTCCATGAACAGGATGGTTTTTTGGTGCTACGGCTACAATTGTATGCGCTACAGTTACAGGTAGTGTCAGGATTGGGTGTGCAACAGCGCTTTCCGGAGCATCGTTCCGGAGTGCGATGGATCCATGTCACCACCCTTCGCCTGTTGGTGAGCTTACGGTTAGTGCCCTGTAACAAGAAGGATGTGTACAGGTAGCCGAAAGTGGAGCTATGGTTGAGGGCCATTTAAAATCTTTGAAAGGCAGACAGGGCTTCTTGTCTTAATTCTACCATTATCATCGTCCCCTCCCCATGTTCCGAATTTTGTACGGTTCACCCTTCCTCCCTATGAGAACCACAGTTCTAGCACGGACTCATCAACCCTCGACCCTAAACCCCTCCACCCAAAACCCTAAAGCCTAAACCCTAAACACCTAAGCTGGCTTGAGTGATAGCTTAAATTGACCCGCACCCTTTTCTCATAAACCCTATATAAGCCTATAAACCCTAAAGCCCTATATAAGCCCTACAAACCCTACGGCCCTATGCAAGCCCTCTAAACCCTGAAGCCTACATAAGCCCTATAAACCCTAAAGCCCCAAAGCCCCGATGTTGGGCTTAAGAACATCTTACTTCCGCTTCAGCGGCTTTAAAGAGCTGGCAAGCGAAGCTCAAAGCCACAGGTACTATCTTCCGCGGATCCGGGACCTTAGTTTCAAGAGGGTTTAGGATGCAGGGTTAAACTCTCTCTTGATCTCAAGCCTAAGCTCCAAAAACCCTCGCCCACACCCCGAAACATGAAAATCGCCAATCACGCTCAGGCCCTGACCTGACTCCGCCAGCGGGGGTTAGGGGTTCGCACGAAATTGCATGATCCCTAGATCCCATATTAATGTAAACAGTCTAAAACTTATTATAGAAACACCAGTTGACGGTTTGTCTTAATCCCCTATATGCCTTAGCGTGCGCACTACACAAGAAGTCCGATTCCCGCACCCTCCGTAGTCCCGAAACCTTGTTTCCGGAGCCCTACACCCGAAATCCCCAGCTTGCATCCTTCACCTACTCCCACTTCCCAAATGCAGACTTCCTAGACAAAACGTTATATAACCCTAAACCCACCAGGCCCTAAGCCCTAAACCCTGTACCCTAAACCCTAAACCCTAAACCCCCTAAGCCCTAAACCCTAAACCCTAAACCCCTAAGCCCTAAACCAGCTCCTAAATCTTCAGCAGGTGGGGCTCCAAGAAGGGCGAGGCTGTATCGGGGCCGCCAAAGCCTGCGACGCTGCCGGCAAAGAAGCAGGCAGGGTTTCTGGTCTGGGGTTGAGGGTTTAGGGTTGACGTTTCAGGGTT